GGAAGGCTGGCCAACCATCCACTCGAGTGCCCAGGGCAGGTTTGGCAGCATCGAAAGGGTTTCGGCGCCATGGGGGTTGTTTGGGTTTCTCCCGCCAGGAGGGCGGGAGGCAGGCGCCAAAGGGGGATTTTTATTTCATCGCCTCAAACGAATACGCTCTTTGCAAAGAAATGAGCTGACAAGGACCCGCTGACACAGGTATTCCGGCTGCGCCCCTCTCCCCCTCCCCCACCGCCGTGCCTGAGCGCGCGTGTGAATGTATCGATTGTTTTCATTGATTTTTTAAAAAGCCTGCTGGCAGCGGCTGCGTGTGTGTACACACAAATACTTCCATACACAAACAGATACCCAGGCACACACAGATTACACAAGGAACACACGCACACCCACGCAACCCACGGGGCCCCACGCACACATACCTCTGAAGAGCCTAGGGTAACCGGTGAGGTCCCTGAGTTTTGTCAAGATGGGGAGGGGGGATGTGGGGGCGGAGAAAGGGGAGGCGGAGCAGGACGTCAGTAGGGCAAATGGTGCCGTTCTCCCCGGTCCCTAACCCCAAGTCTTCGCTTTCCTCCTCCTAGAGAGGTCTGGACCAGAAATCCCAACCCAGCGGGTTTCCACTGCCATCAGGGGCAGAATTCCACCCCACATGATCCCTACAGATTATGAGCAAATCCCCTTCCCTGGTAGCGCCAGGGCGCACATAGCTCAAAGCCCACAAGAGCGGCCACCGGACGTAGGGCCTGGCCCCTGGAGGCCCCTGGGGCCTCGGGGGACCTCTAGCCTACTTGATCCGGGTTGGAGAACTGGGGAGGGCTCCCCCCGGAAGGGTAGGGGTCAGACGCGAGGCGCGGGAGGAGCGCGCGAGGGCGCCCCCTGGACACCGCGGTCAGTTTTCCTCTCGCCCTGGGCTCCACAGGAATGTAATCGAGGATGCTGGCCCTGCGGCTGCTCAACGTGGTGGCCCCCGCCTACTTCCTGTGCATCTCCCTGGTGACCTTCGCGCTGCAGCTCTTCCTATTCCTGCCCAGCATGCGCGAGGACCCCTCGGCTGCCCCGCTCTTCTCGCCTGCCCTGCTGCACGGGGCCCTCTTCCTGTTCCTCTCGGCCAACGCCCTGGGCAATTACGTCCTGGTCATCCAGAACTCCCCCGACGACCCGGCCGCCTGACACGGGCAAGAGCGGCCACCGGACGTAGGGCCTGGCCCCTGGAGGCCCCTGGGGCCTCGGGGGACCTCTAGCCTACTTGATCCGGGTTGGAGAACTGGGGAGGGCTCCCCCCGGAAGGGTAGGGGTCAGACGCGAGGCGCGGGAGGAGCGCGCGAGGGCGCCCCCTGGACACCGCGGTCAGTTTTCCTCTCGCCCTGGGCTCCACAGGAATGTAATCGAGGATGCTGGCCCTGCGGCTGCTCAACGTGGTGGCCCCCGCCTACTTCCTGTGCATCTCCCTGGTGACCTTCGCGCTGCAGCTCTTCCTATTCCTGCCCAGCATGCGCGAGGACCCCTCGGCTGCCCCGCTCTTCTCGCCTGCCCTGCTGCACGGGGCCCTCTTCCTGTTCCTCTCGGCCAACGCCCTGGGCAATTACGTCCTGGTCATCCAGAACTCCCCGGACGACCTGGGCGCCTGCCACGGGTCCTCGGCCAGCAGGGCGCCGTGCTCCCCGCCCAGCACCCACTTCTGCCGAGTGTGCGCCAGGGTCACCCTGAGGCACGACCATCACTGTTTCTTCACCGGCAACTGCATCGGCAGCAGAAACATGCGCAACTTCGTCCTGTTCTGCCTCTACACCTCCCTGGCCTGCCTCTACTCCATGGTGGCCGGCGTGGCCTACATCTCTGCCGTCCTTTCCATCTCCTTCGCCCACCCCCTGGCCTTCCTCACGCTTCTGCCCACCTCCATCAGCCAGTTCTTCTCCGGTGAGTGGGCCTTGGCAGGAGGTTGGGCTTTACATAAAGACCCTCCAACCCCAAGGGTTGCCAGATTTAGCAAATAAAAATAACATTTTGGATAAACAACACAGTACCATTTTAGTACGATTATGTCCCAGTATCGCATGAGACATACTTTTACTGAGAAAACTTTCTGTTGTCTATTTGCAATTCTAATTACCTTTGGACATGCTCCTCTTCAGGTGGCAACCTCCTCCCCTCCCACCCGCTATCCTCATCTGTCATATTATCCAGTTACTGTAGGGACAGGGCATCCAGGCAAGACACCTGCTCTGCACTAGGCAGGGCTGAGTGCTGGCCAGCCTTCCTACAGCCTCGTGGGGTGTACCCAAGCCCTGACCTTCTTCTGCCAGGTCCCCAATCCCGCTCACACACCGCCAAGGACTTTGCCCTCCAGAGGTCTTGCCAAGTGACCACAGTGAGAGTGAGCTTAGCACCAGGCCAGCTCCAGCAAGAGGCTGAGCCCCGTCCTTCTGTCCAGAACGCAGATGGTTCAGAGCGGGGAGAACTCTGGCAGGAGACACAGCCCGGTTTAAGAGCTCCATCATATAGTACAGTCATGGGCCTAGAGTGGGCTCTGACCTTCTGGGAGGCTCTGACACCTGCAGGAGCCAGACACGTGAGCTGTTACACCGGTGCCCAGCTGGTGGGGACTGGGCTTGTGGGGGGCAGCTCTTACCACTTCACCTGGCTTTGAAATGTGCCCCTGCTTCATTTCCTTTCACTCCCTCCTGCCCTGGCCTTTGGCTCTGACAGCTTGGTACTACGCATTGTGTATGTGTGTGTGTGTGTGTGTGTGAGACTGTTATCTCCATTTCTCAGGTGGGAATAAATGATTTGCCCAGCGTCTTACTACTACTTGGGAGCAGTCTCCAGCCTGCCTCCCAGGTCCTTAAACCTTGTCCAGGGCTCTTTCTCAGCAGCACAGGGAATAGAACATGCTGCCTCTCTTATTGACCTTCCGGGGACAAGGCACAGCTACTTCTTCTGAGAGAGCCCAAGACAGCCTTGATGTGCTTGGTTGGTCATTCATAAAACCCCGCCCCCATCCTGGGGGAAGCCATCATTTCTGTCTCTGCTATGGCCGCAGCCTGTTTTTTTCCAGGCACTGAGCTACCATGGTGTTTGGCAGTGGGAACTCAGACCAAGAGAGGACTCAGCTCGAAGGTTTGCCCTGAGGGCTGGTGACTGAGCTGGGCCCAGAACACAGAGCTCCTGGGCCTTCTGGATTTGTTATTGGCATAAGAGACTGCTGGGACTAAAATAACCAGGATGGGGGGGGCTAGGGGGGCGGGCCGGGGGGGGGTGGAGTGTGAGCTCAGACAGGTGGAGGGATGAGAAGCGCCAAAGAGCCTGCTTACACTTTGTTTTCCAAGTGGTTCACCAGCCATAAAAATGGATGGCTCCAGAAGGAGGATCTTGAATTGGTTTGATCTGAGATAAGTCTGGGCTTGAGGCCTGTCCATATGTGCTAGGTTTGGGGGGTAGGAAGAAAATAGAAGGGCCCCTTTCCTTTGATCTGATGGGAAAACAGTCAGTCAGTGCCCACTTTGGGGCCTGGAGTGCTTTTCCAGCAGAAGGTTGGCTCCCACTGTCTTTCACCTCCTCACCACTCCCACTAGGAAAACCAGGCCAAGATTTCTAATCTCCAGCTCTCCCGTCTCATTCTCCTGCTTGGCTGGCCTTTCTTCCTTCGTCTTGCCATCTCTTCTTCTCTCTCCTTTCCCCCAAATGCCCCACCTGTTCCGCTTCCTCCTCTCACTCTTCTTCCCTAATTCCCCTTACAAATGGTTGAGAGCACACCCTCTCTCATCTGCTCAGGAGCATAGGTGGACAGGAGGGTGGGAGAAAAGTTCCCTAAAAATTGAAGGACCAATTTTGGCGTAATGGTTATGTCTCTGGACTCCCATGTAGTCGACCGCAGTTTGAGTCCCAGATCTGGTGGCTTAAACTCACACTGGGCGCGTGTGTGTGCGTGTCCAAGATCCTGAGAGGAGAATGGAGGAGAAGGGATTGCAGCATGGCCATCTCCCCTGGGGGATGATTTCTCGCTTTCTGTCTCTCTGTTTCTTTCTGGCGAGTGCACGCACCCTATGCCAAAAAACTTCTCCAAAAAAGAAAGAAAAAAGAAAAGAAAAGAAAAAGAAATTGAGCTGTCCTCAGCTCTGGTACAGTCTGAGCCAGAACTGTCACCAGTCTAGCATGGTCATGAACATGAACCCTGAGAGACAAAAGGGGGACGGGTCTTCTAAGTGAAGGTGGCTGCTGACCACAGGCTCTTGGCTGATGCCAAAGATGGAGGAGGCTAGCTAGTTAGCTTTAGAAGTTGTCCTTCTTTTGGCTATGTGGGATAGATCGTGGTTGTGCCACCTCCCCGAACCACTTTTTTATCTGGGACAAGGCGATGACGTGATCTGACCTGCATCGTGGTGTTTGGACACGTATGCCCGCTTGCTAGGTGCCACCTGAAAGGTCATTAGAAGGAAAAGGGAACTAACATTTATTGAGCACCTATCATGCACTGCACGTCTCCTTCCTTCCAGTCCTCAGGACAAGTCTGTGAGGGAAGTATTATGATGTCTATTTTAAAGGCTCGGTAAGGTTAGGTTGCTTTAAAGCCACACAGCAGGTAGGACTCCAACCCAAGAGTTGAACTTGGGGTTTCTGGTCTCCAAAGCCCAAGCTCTTTCCACTTTACTGCATTGCCTCTCTGGGGCTGCCTCCCTGGAGCTGTTTCTTGATGAATGAGCCACTTTGGGAGGGCGGAAGCTTCTTGATATGAATGTATTAAAGAAGGTCTGAGTGATGATGTGTCAAAGGTGTGACAGAGGGGCTGGGAGGTGTCCTGGTGATTAAGGTGCTGGACTTCCACATGGTCACCCATGGTTCGAGTCCCATACCTGGTGATTTGGTTTTTCTCTCTCTGTGTCTCTCTTAACAAATTGAAGAACAATAATAATAAATAAAATTAAATGAATAATTATTTTTTAAAAAAGTTTAGAAGATGTGATAGATGCTTGGTGGGAGTCTGGTACAGGGGAGATTGCCTAATGTGAGTTTCCAGGCCCTTTAAGCAAATTCTGTGATTTTTCTAACAGAAGCAGAACTATTATTAAATAGTTAAGAAAAGCTGAAGCAACCATGCCAGGTAACTTCAAACACTTGGAGAGAAAGCAGGTCCCCAGAATAGCCTTTTGTAACTGCTGCATGGGGCTAGGAAAAGGCTGCAAGGTCTTTTCCTCGTGCCTTGATTTAGTGCCAGAAAAAAAGCCTATGGGAAACAGCTTCCATCCGCCCAGTCTCGTCCCTGGGGCTGAGTTGCAAGGCAGGCCTGAGCTTGACAGCTCTGATGTTCTCCGCCCCAGCTTGAGGCTGTTCCTACCCATCAGCATCGCTCGAGCCCGAAGGGCACCCTGGGCCCAGGCTCCTCCAGCCTGCCCATGGCCACCCAAGCTCATCTGGGCCACAAGGAGGAAACAGTCAGTGGATGGCATAAGCCCTGGCCCACCATTGCCCTGGGACCAGTGGAGGGCTCCTCCAAGGCCAGCTGGAGTGCACTTTCTTCCTCTGGGCAGCTGGATCTATTTGTCTCCAGCTTTGCAAAGAGAAGTCTGTGATCCAAGCTTCCAGGGATGAGAGCAAGAGGAGGCCGCAAATGAGCAAACCTGAGTTGGAGGGCATCCTCTGCCCAGAGCGGATGAGTTTGAAAAGCCTAGTCCTTGGCGGGGGTGGGGTCTAAGAACTAAAGGCTGGGGAGACTTGGGAAGAGGCTGGAGCAAGGAGGGTGAGGTTGAGATTTGGGCCAACCTGTGGCCTTGTGATGAATGCTGCTGAATTCCACATGACCTGGATTCGGGGTCTTGAAAAACACACTGGGCACATGTGCATGCACACCCAAAATCCCAAATGAGGGGGAAATGGAGAAGGGATTGTGGTGTAACCATGCACCATGAGGGGTGCTTTCTTGCTTTCCCTCTCTTTTTCCATCTTTCTCTGGTGAGCATACACCACCTCTGGATAGAATACGCAGCAGTATAAGTCTTCCGCCTCACTGAAGGAGGTAGTGGGGTTGCCCTACAAGGAGGGAAGGACTAAGGAGGGCTTTCGAGTTCTCTCCTGGGCCCACTGCCCTGGCTGGGAGGCAGGTCAAGGTAGGTGTCTTTATGGCAGTTGCCAAAGCTGCAGCCCATCCAGGATTCCTGGAAAGGAGAAAGGGAAAGCTTGATGGTCTTAGGGTTTCAGCTTGAACCCCTTTTACATATAGGCTCCTTGTCCGTAAAGGGACCCTCAGCCAGGGGCACAGCACAGGGTGGGAACTGGAATGTCAACTTGTGCATACATCGTTTCCCTGAATCATACAACTCTATGAAATCATTATTATACCCATTTACAGATGAGCAAATTGCAACTCAGAGGTTAAGAAACATGTGGGGACCAGCAGGTGGCGTGGTGGTTAAGGTGCTGGACACTCCCACATGGCCGACTATGGTTCAAGTCCGGACCTGGCAGCTTCCTTTCTCCCTTTCCCTCTCTTTCTCTCTCTCTCTCTCTCTCTGTGTGTGTGTGTGTGTGTCTGGTCAAATTAAAACAAATGAATGAATAAATAAAGTTAAATAAAAATAATTAAAATAATAATAATAATAATTTAAGAAACATGCATGTCCATAGAGCTGGCAGATTCAAACAGTATAGATAACCCACCCACACTCAGAGGAGGAGTGTGGGGTCTTACTCAGTGATATCTGAACCAGTAATAGGGTGTGTTTGGTTTGGAGAGACTCAGGGGAGAGCCTATCCCATGGCAGGGGGCTGAACCCATGACCTTGGGGTCCTCTTCTGGCCTTAGCAGGCTTGGACCCACAGGACAATTGTGGCCAAATGTTCTAGTGGCATAGCGTCCTCTTGTTAACATTAATGACTGAATTATTCTGAGTTGGAGCTCTGTGTGCCCTTGAGGCGAAGCTCGTGACTTACTCTTCCCGATGGCTAGGCCCTGTTCTCCATCATGCTGTCACTTTCCTTCGTCCTCCCAGCCAGTGCTCCCAGCTCCATAGGGAGAAGGCGCTGCAGTCTAGACAGCTGCCCAGACATGGCGCTTTAGGGTCCTCAGCATGCCCTGCTCTCTTCCTGAGAAAACTCCTTCTCCATGCCTCCTGCCCAGAAAGAAGCAGCAGAGAGAGGAGGGCATCTCTAACTCTAGGGGAATGTTGATAGTATCAAGATCCTACCCTAGAAGCAGAGGGCTCTCCTTGCTGAGCTCATCAGGCATGGATTCCTGCTCCCCCAGTCCCCGGTTCACCCCTCTTGCTTCTGGGGCCATCAGCACTAAGGAAAAGTTAGGGCAACTAGTACATCCTTCCTCTTCCTTGCGCTGCAGCGCTGAGATTGCTACAAAATGCAGCTTCAATCTCATTAATCTCCCTCCCTCCCAGCGGAAAGCGCCTGCCTAAATTGCGTTCTGTACGTGGCCTGGGTGTAAAGCGGCTCTGGTATCTCCCCTCCCCCGCAGGAGCTGTCCTCGGTTCTGAAATGTTCGTCATCCTCATGCTCTACCTCTGGTTTGCCATCGGCCTGGCCTGCGCCGGCTTCTGCTGCCACCAGCTGCTGCTGATCCTCCGGGGGCAGACTCGCCACCAGATGCGGAAGGGGGTGGCAGTGAGGGCCCGGCCCTGGCGCAAGAACTTACAGGAGGTCTTCGGAAAGAGGTGGCTGCTAGGCCTGCTGGTGCCCATGTTCAATGTCGGCAGCGAGAGCTCCAAGCAGTGGGACAAGTAGCAGGTGCTCCCATCCTTTCCCTCTCTGTGCGTCTCGACTGCTCCTGAACATAAGACCAGGCACCCTTGTCTCCACCCACGACCCTCTGCAACTTCGGGCTGGTTAAGTGTCAGCATCCACCCCTGATCTTCAACCCATAGAGAACAGCATTGGCTGGTGGATCAAGACAAGGAAGGAAGAAAATGGCCACCCAGGCATTGCAAGGCTCCTCACAAGCCAGCCCGGTGGCCACTGTTAGTATGCCTCCGCTTTTGTTCCTTCCACAGGGCTCCCTGCTTTTCCCCACTGTGCTTCCCCGCTGCCTGGCTTCTGCTCTCTCCGTGGCTTGTGACCCCTCTGCTCTCTACCAGCGTCCTTCCTCCCAGCCCCTTGTTGGGAAGATTCTCTCTGCTGGTATGACACCCCTGGGACCTGGAGGCTGGCAAACATGTGCCATTTCCATGTGGCGAGGCAGCCAGGGCAGCTCTGCCAACTGCTAGGGATGGGGAAGGGTGGGCATGTGGCCCACCCTGCTGGGTGATGTGGGCAGTGAAGGGAAAGGACCTCAGTAGCTTGCTGCCCGCCTCCAAGGCTCAAGGCCCTTTCTCTGGGAAACAACAGCCCATGGCGTGGTTCTGACTGCCTCTGCTGGCCACCCAGCCCAGTCCAGGACATGGCGGCATGCCTCTTTCCTCTGGCGCTCTGCCAGAATTCCCCCCTCGGTCTTCAGCATCCATGTCTTTGTCAGATGCTGGGAAGGCAAGGAGGAAGGGATCGATACATGAGGGAGACATGTGACAGTATAACTGTGCGGAAGGGGGCGTGTGTGAGAGAGACAGAGAGATTGGTGGTGAGGAGCGTTGCTATGAGCATAGAGGGAAGACGTGAGAGGAGGGGAGAAGTGTGTGTCTGTGTGTGGGGGGACGGGATCACTTACACTCTGTACAAAGGGCATTTGGTATCTATAGCTGTTTGGTGTCGAATGACCACCTGGGGAGGTAGTGAATCTGCAGCACTGGAGCTATTCCAGCAGGGCCTGGGTGGTCATCTGCCAGACATGCTGGGGAAAGGCTTTCTGCATAGGGTCATTCTAGCTGAGCTTAGCGATCCCTTCCCACTCCAGGGCTCTGGAGTCCTCTCTGCAACCGCTAGGCCCAGAGGCAAGACCTGCAGAGATGCCTGTGAGTTATTTGCTTTCATGGAGAGCCAGGTGAGCATGAGAGGGATCTAAAAATTATGATGCAAACTTTTAGGATGGACCCGGCCACCAAGGAAGGTCTTTGGAGAGACAGGACTACCTGAATGTTAATAGTAATTGAGGGGGCTGGGGTTTGAGGACAGGGTCAGGCGTGGAAACTGGTGGGGAGAGAAAACCTGGAAGGTTATGCTCGACTCTGAGGGGTGAGATTGGAGGAGCCCAGGCTGGAGAATGGATATGACCAGAATATAGGAGTGTGGTTGCCAGACCACCTCTGCTCATCTGACTGGCTCTGGGTGGGGACACTGCTGGGATCCAGAGGACCGACACCTGGGACATATGAAGGAGCACCCCTTCCTGATCGGGTCCCAAGGCCAATCCACCCTCCATGCAGGCTGTAGGGCTAAAGCCCACGCCCTGCTGTGCCCATTGGTGGCCAAAGCACCCCAATAGTTGCTGCATAACACTCTGGGGAGGATTTCACTCTGCCCCTGTCTTTACACCCACTAGAGGGCTGACGCAGCAATGGCTTGACTTACTCATAGTGCTCGTCCATGTCCATTCATTCATTCGCTCATTCATCCATCCTACACAGAGTTAGTGAGCACCGACTACGTGCCAAGTCTCATCTGAGCACTGGCAATACAGTGGGGAACAGGATGAGATCCCTGCCATCGGGGGCACCTTGTCACTACCCCCAGGGCACTGAGACACAGCCCCTGAAAACTGGTCACTCTGCCATCTTAATGGTCAGGGGGGCAGGGGAGTCACATGGAGAGGAAGGCATGGTAGAGAGGGCTAAAGGGGAGCTTAGACTTTCCCGATGGAGGAGTCACTGGGGGCATCCTCACCCCAGTTGTGGCCATACTTAAGCAGAAGACAAGTGCAGGGCATTTCAGGTCTTGACCCTCTCCTCATCCCAGAGCTCAGGCTTAGAAACCAGCCTTGTCATTTCCAGCCTCCTGGAAGCTCAGCACAATGAGGCCTGACATCTGGGCAGGGGGTCTTCACAGATGGGTCAATGAAGGGGTGAGGGGGAAGGTCCCCAGGTATGGGACTTGTGTAGTCTTTGTACACATGGCCCTGTATTGTCAATGAAGAACATCAATAAAATATGTGGTTCTAAACCGGATTTGGTGTGATTGTCTGAGTGCTCTGAGTGACAGCATGGCTGGACTGCACTGCTGCAGTCATACTTACTATTCAAATATTTAGAATAAGTATTAAAAATACTCCTGTTCCAGCTGGTAAATAACAATGGCCCAGATTCCCTGAGAAACCCACCCCTGCTCTCTGTGCTGTTCCCCGGGGACCCCTGGCTCACTCTACACACCAGCAAGCGAAGGGGAAATGCCTGGGACCTGCGTGAGGCCCCCAGGGCCCTGCTCCAGCCCTGTCAGTGTGCTCTGTGCTCAGTCAGGGCTGGGTCATGGTAAATATGTGACTATCTCCCCTTGTTGGTAACAGGTCTTCGGTGCTGGCATCTGTGGACCCATGGGGACCGAGGATGGAATGGCTTAGCAGGGGAATTTCCTCTATCTCCTTCTCCTAGTTCTCCTCCTCTCCCTCTCCTCCCCAGAGGAGAGCAGATGGGAGGGAATAAAGAGAGGAGTCCATGTACTCCTCACAGCAGTCAGAGCTGACCGCCCCTAAGGATCGGCCAAGGCCCTCCACTCTCAGCCCCTACAACGATTGGAGGCCTTGGGCTGCCTGCTCAGGATAGCCTGGAGGGAGTTGACCCCTACAGGGAGCGGGCCCTGAGCAGTGGGATGGGCATGGCCTTGATGCATCCTGAAGGTGTGTAGGCCTGGACTAAGGGTGGACACGCTGCACAGGGCTGGTGCTGTTCGGGCTGTCCAAGAGCCTCAGTCTCAGCCAGTGTTGTGATGGTCTTCATTCCCTGGACGCCGGACACCAGCAGCCTGCAAGGCAGCTCCTGGACATGCTGGGGGAGCTGGATGGAGGGAGCTGCAGCTAATCCTCCACACATTCTAGAGCCCGGGCTGGCTACTCTGCAGGGCAGACACACACTGTTCCCTTGATACCTCGCAGGGGTGACATGCTGACCAGTGAGTGCATTGACTTTGTGCTCACTTGCTTAGTCCGTGTCTCTTACTCTCCCGTGGGCCTAGAACTCTCTTTTGCACATCGTGGGGCTAGAAAACAGAGGGGCTTCTTCTGTCCTCAAAGAGTCCCCATCCCGGGGGAAGTTCCTGCATGTGCTGAGGAAGGAGAGAGCACATCTAGCTCTTAGGCAAGTCCATTTGTGCAGGGCCTGGAAGGACAGGTGAGGTTACAGGTGGAAAAGGGCAGGGAGGGCTCTTCAGGTAGAGAGAACAGGCCTGGAGCCTTGGAGTGTAGGGATGTATGGAGAGGCGGAAGGAGTGAAGGCTGAGGGAGGGGGCCTGAGCAGAGATGGCTCTCAGTGCCAAGCTATGGGATCTGGAGTAAATGTGACCAGCAGTCGGGAGCCATTGAAGGTTTTTGAGCAAGGGAGTGGCATGATCAGAGCTATTGGGTTGTCAGAAAAGTCATGGTGTATTTTTCTGTTTTCCATGCAAAAATGCGTCATGACTTTCTTGATGACTCGATGGATTTCAGGAAGTGGAGCTTTGGATGGAGACTTAAAGTGAATCATGTGTGCTATGAGTGAGATCTGGGGGAGTGGCAGGGCTAGGGAGAAGAAGAAGGGTGAAGAGGCACTTTGCAGACTCGGGGCATGATTAGAGGGGCGTTGGGGAGAGGGCCCGAGATGGCCTTAAAGGTCAAGGCATGGTGATAGGATGCCTCAGAGGAAAGGCCATCAGGAACAGCAAGGAGAAGAACATGACCCGGGGATTCAGAGCCGCCCTGAGCACTAACTTCTGTCGTGGGCCATTGCCTTCACTGACAATCCATGGCTCTCTTTAGTTTTCAGAGTTTTGCATAGGGCTTGCTGGAGAGACAAAGAAAGAGGGAAAGTGAGAAATCACCCCCCAGGGGGCATGGCCGCATCACAATCCCTTCTTCACTTTCCTCGGGATTTTGGGCACACACACACACACACACACACACACACACACACATACACACATATGCCCTCGTAATTTTCAAGCTGCAGGGTCCAGGACTTGAACTGTGGAATTGGCTATGTGGGATCCAGCACCTTAGCCACCACTCCATCTGCTGGCCCCAATGGAGTCACTTTAACCATTCTGCAACTGGGTGTGGAGGAAGCGGTTCAAAGGATACCTGTCGGTCACAACTGAAGCACAACTTGAACACCCAGAGCCAGGGGAGTGCCATCTGCCTGCGGCAGGAGAAATCATGACGGGCTCTCTCTCTCAGCGATGACATGAGATACTTGGCTGTCTGCTGCCTCGGTTCCCATCCAGAAAGCGGGTACTCTCCTTTGGCCCATGTCCTAGTGTTAGATTAGGCAACGTAGGAACTGCCTCACTCTAGGCTTCAGGAACCTAAGGAACTTTGGGAGCAAGACAGACTTGAGAATCTATGAACCTGCATTCCCCTCTGATCTAACAAGTCAGTCTGTAGGTCCCAGGGCTCAGTGTC